TCTGAGTTTAAATGGAATTTCTTTCTCAGTGTTTGAGATGATTCCCGAGCGAACATTACTAACGAAAAGAGCATATAACAAATAAATACTGTATATTGATTCTGCTAGGCCAAGTGGTTGGGTGTGTAGATTATAATTAACTGATTTTAGGTGACGTCTCGAAAAGTAAATGGACCGCGTAACACCAGTCCTACTCTCCAAGCAGTGTCGCTGAGAATTTATTACCATCCGTTCTGTGCGAGGATTACCAGAACTCGGTCGAACGATATCTGACACACTCTCCCTCGTTTCGTCCAGTTAAATCCACTCTAACGACCGCGTAAACGAGCCGAGTAATTCTTAAGGCGGAGCTAAATATAGACCGGCAAAAATTATTCCAATAAGATTCGACGTTCTCTTTCTTTGCTTATTCTTTCATAAAATAGAGATCTGAAGAAGGAGAAAGATATAACTCAACTTGTATCTCCTTTAATATCTCCTATCATCCTTCTTTCTATAAAAACATAAACTAATCCTGAATCCTGGTGAGTTAACAAAAAAAAAAAATAAAAAATTCAATTTTTATTTATTCATATTTATAACTAATTAATCATAATTAAATAAATCAATTATAATATGTCCATTCAGGTATTCCAATATTCCTTCGATGTCTCATTCTTTTTAATTGCGAATAACATCTTTACTAGATATAATTATCGAGTATTTATTATCGCTATAAAATGATTATTAATTATGCCAACACGGAGGAACAATTTAACCGGCACCAAAAGTCGGAAAATAGTCTCGAATCGCACGTGCGTGGAAGAAGCCGTGAAGCTGCTAATAGTCGCCTAAATGGTCGACACGCTTCCTCTGGCTGTCGCTATATGTCACCTCCGCCCTCTATTTACACGACATGGACGATGCACGTGCGTGTGAATCTCGACGCGACTGAAACGAAAGAATTCTCGACTGCTTGCTACATTATACTCATTGAAACGTTTTAAGAAAAAAAAAAAAAAACCAGTCGAATTTTCCACATAAAAATTAA